GCCAAATCGTCGGCGGCTACTAGGGCTGTAAACGAGCCGAGCCGAGCTCGAGCTTAAGGTGTTTGAGCTCGAGCTCGAGCTCTTAACGAGCCGAGCCGAGCTCGGCTCGTTAAGTAAACGAGCCAAAAGTCGAGCTCGAGCTCGGCTCGTTAAGGCCTCGAGCTCGGGCCTTAACGAGCCGATCTCGAGCCTTAACGAGCCTAACTATAAAAAATTACATAAATTTCACTTTTCGAGCCTTAACGAGCCTTATCGAGCCGAGCCGAGCTCGGCTCGTTAACCAAACGAGCTTTAAATGAGCTCGAGCTCGGCTCGTTAAGGTTTCGAGCTCGAGCCGAACCGAGTCTTAACGAGCCGAGCCAGGCTCGTTTAGTTTAACAGCACTAGCCGCTACCACAAAAATCCCAAAAACCTGTCAACATTCCGCAAACGAACACCACCATTGAACTTAAGAATACAAGCCAACACACTTAAAAGCCTTCAATCCTAAATACAAAACACGATCTATAGATCATACATTCTCAAACTCGAGAACCCCCAGTTCTGAAATTCAATACGAGTTTATACTTAAGGATGAGTTCATACACAAGGTTCCAAGTAATAACTATAGTTTTCTTAGCATAGTTGTGGATGTTACTTTTTACCAGTCTTTCACGTGAACCAAATTGCAATTCACTGCATTTACTATTAAACCTAATAAAATTAATACTACATGACAGTATTAAGTTTGAAAATAACATTTATGGTAACATGAATTTATGAATTATTAAACTATAACACAAAATTTAGTATTTCACAAATTCCTGTGTTGAACAACCCTAACCATTAGGCATGAATGTTGTATACATACAAATAACTATGTTTAATAAAATTTAGAATTATTTTATTAATTCATATTTTTTTTCATGAATTAAATTACGGTCACGTATTTTTGTTTCTCTTTTTATATTGTTATCGTATATTTCTCCGTGCAAATGCACGGATTGATCACCGGTATCATATAATTTAGGAGGCAAACATTTAAGAAATTAATAGTAATAATTTGGGGTGGGTATACCATATGGTAGCAATATATTGGGTCAGCAACAAGACCGGTCAATTCAACAAGAGCAAAGAAGTAACATCTGTCCCTTCAATCCCAGTGCAAAACAGCCCATCCAATTTCCTAACGAATATGACATTACATTAATATTTATTTATTAATATCTGATGATGAAAGTTGAATTTTGAAAATTTAAATTTGGGGCAGTTACGAAACAAGATTATGTATGTTTGTAATCCCATAATCCCGGGCATCATGTGACCAATATTATAATAATAATAATAATAATATATTTGCACCAAAAAAAATATTTAGTTTGAAATGCCATTTTTTTTTTTACAAAAATAATAATTTATGAAGCTGTGACATTTTGTAAAATAAAATAAAATAATCAAGGCCTCTTGCAAAATCATTGATAAACATATAGCACAACACATGGAGATACTATAGTAAATCAATTCGTCGAGTCAGTAACTTTTAGATTAACTATCCTCGACGATTATATGATAATTTTACGATTACAAACTCTGATGGAATAGTCCCGCAACGAGACAATATTATTTATAATCTTTTAGCCATTTGTAATGTATACGGTACTTTAGTAATCCATTCAATTATTTACTATTCCAATTTTCTCTCTCCTCACTCAGTCTCTCTCATTCAATGCTTTACCGAACTCATCACCACTCTTTTCTTCTCTACACATTCAACCCTTTTTCCCACTCTTCTTTATCACCTCATCTTCTTTCTTCTGCTTCTTCTCATCCTCTCCAGGTGCCTTCACCTTTTTCTAATTCTTTATTTTTTAATTTAATTTCTGTTTATTTTTCTGTGTTGTTGTTTAATTTTTGACAAAAAAAGATGAAATCTTTGGGCATAAATTTGCTTATTTGCATGTGGGTTTTTGTTTTTCTGATTTTTTTAATGGAAATTTGTTCATTTTTTTTAAATTTTTTTTTTGTAGAAAATGGAGTTTGTTCAGGGTGCTTTGGTGAGCGGGTTTGGGCTTGAAACGGAGACGAAAACGGCGTCGTTCTTGGATGACTTCTCGGCGGTGAACGGTGTTTCCGGCGACTACTTGTTCGTCGACGAACTTCTGGATTTCTCCAACGACTTTAACGAAGAAGAAGTTGAGGAGGAGGAGGAGAAGCCTCAGAAACTGGAGGAACCGGAGGAAAAGCAACTGGAGGAGAAGGAGAAGACGTTCTCTGTTCCGCCGGAGAAACCAACGGCGCCGGAGGAAAGCGCGGTCTCCGTAAAACACGATTTTGGGCCTCTCCCTGAAAGTGAATTAAACGTTCCGGTGAGCGTCAGTTTCGTAATTTTGGCAGAAATTTACTGCCCAAAATATGCATAAAGAAACGTTTTTTTTTTATTTTATTTTTTATGGTAAAATTTGCTTGGAAATTGAGAGAAAATGAAGATTATTTGATTATACATATTTTTAATTTTTATTTTTTGTTCAACAGGCGGAGGGCTTGGAGAGTTTGGAATGGTTATCTCACTTCGTGGAGGACTCGTTTTCCGATTACTCTCTCACCGGAAAATTGTCGTCTACTCCGACGGCGAACCGGCCTGAACCGGGTACGAACGTCGAAGCACAGGCCTGCTTCTCCTCTCCGGTCCAAACAAAGGCCCGAACGAAGAGGGCCCGAACAGGGGTCCGCGTCTGGCCGGTTTTGTCTCCCTCCTTCACCGAGTCGTCCACGTCATCCTCGTCGTCCGCCTCCTCCGCCGCGTCGTTCTCATTTCCGACGCCCAATCCCCTGCCGGTTCAGGTCCAGANNNGAGGCCCTGCACGGAAAGCCGCCGCCGCCGCCCAAGAAGCAGAAAAGGAAACCGGCCGACGCCGGAGGGAGCGCCGCGCCCCAGCCGAGGAGGTGCAGCCACTGCGGCGTGACGAAGACCCCGCAGTGGCGGGCCGGGCCCCTCGGGTCGAAGACGCTGTGCAACGCCTGCGGGGTGAGGTTCAAGTCGGGCCGGCTTCTTCCCGAGTATCGGCCCGCGTGCAGCCCGACTTTCTCCAGCGAGATCCACTCGAACAAC